ATATAATGCAATTTAATTTAAAATACCATAAAATTGGTTATTTTTTTAGGAAATTATTTAAAATAATAATTTGTCATAGAAACATGGAGCACTTTGTAATCCAACACATTTAGCGTGCACCAGTCACCATTTACTGCACGGGGTGTCTTCGGCCGGCTAGATTCAAACTCCTATTCTCAAGAACGTTAGTCCAGCGCCCTGCCAACCAGGCTATTTCGGGTCCTTTATAAGATGTGAGACTGACTAATGAAGAAAATGCAGCTCTAATGATTAAACAGGCACTTCGAAATAAGCTTATAGGCATCAGTGTGGAAGGTGTATACTTCGATCGGCGAAAAAGTGGTACCTCTTTCAAGAAAAACTTGATTCAAAAATGTACAAAAAGACGATTTCTTTTTATAAACGTCGTTGAGCAGCCGACCAAATGTTTGGGTTTACGGCTACTAATAACTAGCTTAAACCCGCCCCGCCCCCGCCGTGGGGGGCATCCGGGGCACTCCGAAAGTTCAAAGTGCCGGCAACAGTTCAATCACATAAGCAAACATATTCAAAATTTTAAAATTAGAGTTTTATCAAATAGGTAGAATATTAAATATGAAATCCAGAAAACAGCGTTACTTAGAAATGAACTAAATACAAACAAACATTTCAAAGAAGAAGAAAAAAAAAAACAGTATCAATCAGAAGAGATGTCGCATCTTCAGTAGGGGTGCAAAGTTAATAAAAAGAAACAATTTCACATGTTTAAATATAAGATGTTTGTAACTCAAAATATGTATAATCAGTCACAGCTGGCGCAACAGTACTTAAGGTACGGAATTCTAGCATTTTTCTTCTTTTTTTTTTTAAGGCGGAAAAAGACATATATATATACACTAGGAACACAAACAAGTGATTAAAAATTCAGAATGAGGAATCACATAGGGACAGAGATTGACAAAAAGCATGAAATTAAAATGCAAAAAACAGTTTAGGAGAAAATCCAAATAAAAATCAAATCATAACTGGTAAATCAATAAGAGATGTAAAGTATGTCTTTCCTAACAATAGGCAGCAAGAGGCCATCAGGATTTAGGGAGGTGCCTTGTTACTAAACAATTTTCTTACTATTTCCTCAATTCCCTTTTTTTTATTTTAGGGTTTGACCAACGTTGCTCTATAAACTCATAGGTAGTTTTCGAATGAAAAAAATTTCTCTCTAACGTGCTTAAAATTTGTACAATGGATGAATATATGTTCCCAATCCTCAACAAGCTGACAGGTACGGCACAGCTGAGCTCCCCGAAAGGACCTGACCTGATGTTGTCCATGTCAGCCATGATTAGTTAGGAATTGATTTACGATTACTAATGTTCAACTCCGCAGTCTTTTAATTGTGAACCTAATCCAGAAGACAAGGGAACTTTTGGTTCAAGTATTGGGAGAAATCTCCCATGGAGAACTTTTTGATGGAACTAACCCGCATTTGCGCTACATGGGGAGCAAAACCACGAAAATTCCCACGGTTAGGTTGACAACAACGGGATTTTATCCCATGATCTGTCTACCACTGAGAATATTTTAAGGCAGGAAAGCTGTCGGTGCGAGCCGGGTGCCGAATTTGTATGAACCAATCATCACTTCGATTCGAATCCTCGTTTCACCTCATTGGATGGTGAATGCTCTATCCTGTGAGCCATCACGGCTCAAAAAGACGATATTGGCAGACTACAAAAGCATAATTTAAGAACTTCATGAAAAATATCTTTGAGCCGTAGCTCATGCAAACGGTATTGAATACAAATTAACAGCGAAAATTTATCAGTATTTTGGGAGGAAAAACTCTTGTTGACGTGAAGCAATTATGTGCTACTACCTGTAAATTGTATAGCTGTAAATACGGTTTGCCACATTGAAATGAAATTTCAAAAAAAGTTGAATTGGCTATTACTAAAATCTGATCATATTCACTTCAAGCATATTTCGATAAAAAATACAAACTGCGAACAAAATAAGAAATACGGAAGAAATTATTTGTAAGAGAAAATTGAATATTTTTTATCACTTTGAGAAAATGACATTTTTGTTTGCGTAAACTATTTACTCACCTTTTTGTATCTTTAAAACATTTTTATTTCAAGGATGAACATATATTTCTTACTAGAGTAATTTCTAGAAGAAAAAAAGGATACATATTGCTTCTGCAGTGTTTAATATCTAATAAAATCAAGAGTTAATATAGTTTTAATTTTATTTTCGGCATGAAAATTTCTCCAAATATAAATGTGATAAAAATGATCTAATTCAAAACAATTATTGAATTGCTAATTAACACATTGCTGACTGGCAACTTTTCTGAAAATTATCCCCTGTGCCCGGCTATTGTTTTGGAAGTGAATGTGGAATTAAAACAATATAAATAAACTTTAAAAATTTTTAATTTTTAATGTATGACAATCGCCTACTTGTAATGCTACACTTTCTTTTTCTTTATTTAAATCAAGCTGGGTACCTGGGCCGCGCAGTGGCCCCTAACCCATTCATCATGAAATAATTTACATTGTTTGAAAGCATTTTTTATTATGCAACATTGTGGTGGCAAGATTAGAAAGACAGGAAATAAGAAAATATAAAAAGAACAGAAATTACAGGCATTGTTTGTAGATTACATATTTGTCAGTTCTATTGGAACATGTTATTTCATAATTTTTACAGTAGGTTTCTAGATTTTAATAATAATGGATTTTTTAAAGTTCTGTTAAACGTTCAGAGTTTGTGTTTTTTATTTTTATTTTCAGCTGCTCAGAATAGACTGCAAGATGACACATGAGATTGATGTAGCTCCGGATGCATTGGAAAGTTGATGATTTTTACTGCGATCGATGATGCTGTTTCTAATGATTTGACGAGAAAGGATGGATGATTCTGATGATATTTAGAAAAAGTGATATTAGTTGGGGTCGAACCTGGGATCTTTATGTAATGCTACACCACAAGTTTTTCAAATATATCAGGTTTCGTAAGGTTATAATAAATTGGTGAGGAATTAAATAGTAAAACTTGAAAAGTAAGGAAAATTACTCCCACTTTTTCAAATTATCAACACGAGATCACTGCTAACGAAAACACGAGTTAACTCGTGACCGGTCGCCAATGCTTGGCCACAAAAACACGAGTTAACTCGTGACCGGTCAGCAGTGTGTTAGGAAGATAATTTATCAATTCCATATCAGTATAGGGGATTATTTTCAGCAAAGTAAGGTGCATACACAATTTCTATGATGTGACTCTCCGAGAAAAAAAAAACAGGGTTTTTATCCAAGAAAGAAACTCATTTTCTTTCTGTAGTTTTAAATCCACATCAGGTTAATTTAAACACAGATTTATTTTAAAGTGCTTTCAGAAATTTATTTACATCAATATAATATATATATACACGGATGGCAGTAGAGACGAATGTAACAGATCTGGCAGTGGAATTTACATCAAATTGCAAGACCCTGACTTAAAAATGCAGAAAAGAAATCCCGACTACTGCTCAGTATTTCGTAGTGAGCTAGTAGCCATTGATGAAGCCCTTGACTCTCTTGTGTTCTTCCCCCGTGAAAACGAGATATGGGTTCTGTCTGACAGCAGAAGTGCAATACAGCACTTGACCAATTGGCAAAGCGTGAGAAATAGTGTTGGAATGTCAATACTAAAAAAGTTAAAACGCCTTTCCATTTCGCATCAGATTCATCTGCAGTGGATTCCTTCCCACGTCGATCTTGAAGGAAACGAGATTGCGGACACTTTGGCTAAGGCTGGTGCTTGCGAGGCCTCTGTGCCATCGGCACCCCTCACCTTTTTGGAAATCTTTTCAAAAATAAAACACAAATACAAGACCACTTGGAATGTCCCCCCAAAGCACCCATTGCATCAGTGTTCTCGACCTGGATGCTCCCTGGCCCTAGGTTTTAATAGACAGGAACAAACTATTCTTACCCGCTTTCGAATTGGTCACCTTAAATCAATGAAATTTCCGGAACGATCCAAGAACTTTGAAATTTGTACCAACTGTTCTTCAGACCAGCCTTCGCCTCACCACATCCTCGCTTGCCTGGGGCTCACCAAACAGGATTTAGGATATATATATATATATATATATATATATATAATTCANATATACACCGAAGAGCCATTACATTATGACCACCCTGCTAATAACACGTAGGACCACCTTTAGCCCTCAAAACTGCTAGCACTCGTTGTGGCATTGATTCCACAAGGTGCTGATAGGTAGTCTGAGGTATCTGGTACCAAGCCCTCATCTGCAATTCCCTCACATTGCGAGAGGGTAGCGTGGCAGCACGAATTCTGTTTTCCAAGTAGGACCACAAATGCTCTATTTGATTAAAGTTAGTTGAATTTGGGGGCCTAGACATGACTTGAAAGTCACTGGAATGCTCTTCGAACCAATCCATGACGATTCGACCCTTATGACATGGTGAATTATCCTGTTGGTAAACACCATTCCCCACAATAAAAACTGTTGCCATGAATGAGTGAACCTGGTCTGCAACTATGTTCAAGTAGCTTACAGACGTCAGGGATTGTTCTATAAGGATTATGGGTCCTAATGTGCCCCATGAAAACATTGTTCCTGTCCGAGAATCCATGTAAACCTGGGCGAGCCCATTGTTATAGATGGAGGGTGGTCATAATGTAATGGCTTTTCGGTGTATATATCGCTATGTCTGAATAAATAGAACATTACATGTATTCAGATAATTGAATTTCTGATAATAATTATAAGAAATGAGAAAGATACACTGAAATACTTTTTTTCTATTAACGATATTGTAAATTTATTTCACTAATCTGTTTTATTTACTTATTTATTTATTTACTTTTTATAAAAAAAAATAATTTTCCTTGCTATGACTACTCAAAGATTCGTTTAAAATATATTTGCTGTCAAATAAGGGCAAGTTTCCCTTTACAGGGTTTTTTTTTTTTTACCTTCCATTTAATTCTCTTTTCTAGATAGTGTTGTCATATCTGTCTTCACATTGACCCGCTGGTTTGTTTGGTCTAGTTGAACTTGGAGCATAGTTTCAAGGTAAAAGTTTTGCAACTGAATTTCGTCTTTGCGGTCAGCACTTCATATTAATTTACACATTTTGGACACAAACATAACGTTGCCTGGTAGTTTAAAAGGTAAGTGTCGTAATAGGTTTCATTTAAATAACTAAATTAAGACTTTTTTTTTAGTATTCAATGACACAAATACTTATAATTACATAAAGTTAACAAACGCATAAGAGTCGGTAAAGTTATTTTTGCGAGACAATACAAAATAAGAATTTAGGATGCGCTGATTTCTGGAAATAAAATTAGTTTTTTAGTGAAGCATACGCATAGTGCAGAGAAAATAATAAGACGAATTTGAACTACGCTTAAGCAAATGGAAATTATACGTTATAAATTTATTCAATACAGTTTAAAAACAGAAGAACTAAGATGTAAATCTCCTTAAAGCACGAACAGCTTACAGGCGATATCTTAAGTGGGCCAACATTGTTTCTGGGAGCGAAAATAATTAACGTATGGTGTGAAAGCGCATAAGCTTGGTGCAGTGGCGTACGCAGAATTTTTTCAAGGGGGGTGTTCATAATTTTCTGAAACTACCATAAGAAATTCGAATCTGTAATAAATCGCTATTATTTCCCTAATTTAGACAGCTAGAAAATTTTGACTTTTTATTTAGACAACATTGTTTAGTTAAATTTTGATTTGATTTTTTAAGTTTAAGAACATAATGTAATATCTTCTGAAAAAAGTCCAGTGTCATATGGGTGGAAAGTAACACTTTGAGGGCCACTTTCACATTCATCAGATTTTGTTATGCTAGAAACGTTTTCTTCGACGAAAGTATCACATTTCTGTTAAACAGAAAAACTTACATTGGTACTAGATGCTGTCACCTCACTAATTTCAGTCGTGATTTTTTCTCAAAATAATTAAAAATTGTTAAATTCTTGCGTTTTGACATCGTAAAGATCCAAGAACAGCAAATATATATTTATATACATTGGCAAAAAAAATATCCGCTATGCTACGATCTCAAAGTTTCGAGCTGGAATGAATAACTTCAACGAGCACAGTATCTCCAATGGTATTGTTACTGATTTCTTCACTAGTCGAAATAGTGGCGACGACGGCTTCAGTGATTGAATGTAATTTTTGTGAAGACAAAACAAAACAGATTTAGCGACAAGCGGCAGAGATACCTCTTAGTCTGACTAACTAACTTCACTGTACCCCGTTCCCCCTTTTATGTAATTTTTCACCGCATCTCCAAAATTCTCGAATTGTCTCAGAGACGACAGAACGTCTAGGATTCCAGAATCATCGCGTCAAGACCTCACGAATGACTGCCAGTCTCGAAAACTATACTGGCAGGACAGAAAGGAACCAGTCCGTAACAGTATCACGTGAATTTGGTTTCAAAAGTACAACCCTATTACAGTAAATGTTCTTTCAGTACTCTGAGAAATACCGTGAGAAAAAAAAGTAGGCATAAGGCTAATAAAAATATATAGTCTTAAAAAATAATAGCTCGCATAATTTCTACTACAAAATTTTTTTCTGCCATTTTGTCTGAGCTCAAGGGGGATGTTTAAACCCCTAAACCCCTCCCTTGCGTACGCCACTGGCTTGGTGTTAACTCTTACATAATTTAATATTTAATCACACCCTTTAAATTGTATATGAAAACTCGATGTCATGTTAACTTAGAACCATGATTGTTTCATGATTTAATAAATTGGGTAATATCTATGTGGCATTACCAGATCAAAGCGACCTGAACAACTCAGAACGTTTTCGTCGCAATTTGACATCTGCAAGTGACGTAGTAGGAGTATCTCGATCGTGATTGGTTGTAGAAACGTGACGCTTGCTTATGTTAGCAACTATTCTCTCCATTCAATTTCGAGTAAGTCAAGACCATCAAGTATCAATTCCCTAAAGTGACACATTCTAAATGCTTGCACAAATATTCTTTCTCAAAGATTTCAATTCTTTCACTATATATTTAGTACATAGTGACTTAACACAAATGCAGGTACGAAGTCATGGAGAACATAAACAAAACTAATTACGCAATCGAAGTTGCCAGGTACACAAAACAAAAATTTATCACGGTTACAATAAAATACATAAACAAATAATAAATCTAAGTTGAATGAAAGAAGAAGACGGGGAAAAAAATTATATTTCCATTAATTTGGTGTGCGATACGGCTCTGTTTTTAATTAACTTATCGTTAACTGAGATTTTAACTTATGTTGAGAAACTTAGCTCAACTTTTATATGCCATTTTGCTCATATTAGCTGGCGCTGACGACATAGCTCACATGTGTGGGTATGGGAGGTCGTTTTCTTCTTGAAGTGGAAGTACCTAATTGAATGCTATAAAAAGTATATATTATTAAAATATATTTCTCAAAATAACTTATTACTCCACTTTAGATTGACACTCTAAAATAATTCTAAACACAATAAGTAATAATAAAAATGTTGCAATAAGAAGTTGACTCACAAACAATAATCAATCAATTAGAAATAAGTGTATACTGCAGACCTCTAGGTTTTCCATCGTAAAATATTGATGATAGATGAAACGAAAACAAAATTTTACCAATTAACAATTTTATTTGCGAGAAACAATAAAAAAGTTGACAGTAAAAGTATGTTGCACAGCAACCTAAAGATATACTATATGTCCATGCTGAAGAAGTCGTCAAAGTTCTTAACGGTTTGAATTTGTAATTTTACTAATTTAGGAAATTTAACCGGAAGCCATTAAATCAGACAAACCACTTTAAGTATGAGTTCGGAACATTTTGGCATAGTAGGCAACAGAAATATTAAAATTATTTCTACTTCTGTCGCATATACATATATATATATATATATATATATA